TCTGTGCATTTACCCCGCGAGAAATAATGACAAGTGCACATAATCTCGGAACCTCGAAATCTTTAATTTCATAAAAATGCATAAATTCCTCATTCACAATAAATTATTGTAAACGCGATAGACACCTAGGTCCTTGAAACAGGTGAAAACAGAAGCGCAACATAAGCAATCCGGGCAGAGAGAACTGTTCCACTGCGGCTCTATAGGGTCATCAACCAGACTCAGTGGCAACGGCACGTAGTTTCGAGGTGGAGAGGTCGGGCCGCGGAAAACTGAAAATGATATTCCTGGTGTAAGGCGATTGAATATTCACTATTATCGGGAAGCCTTTGTGCGCATTGCTCTTTTTCCTTCAACTGTATTCTAGCTGCCTTTATATTAGGCGTGCTTTTGAGTTATGTCATTTTTGTGTGGTCCTAATCCGAATGCTACTTATTAACGTTTATGTCTACTCTATTTGAATTATGTATCTTTTTGAATCAGTCAGGTCTTGTTTTTTAGATTTTGATATGAATTTCATTTTAGAAAATTGGGCCTAGCAGGATGGGAGAAATAGAATCCGAAAACAGTCTCGTTCGTTACTGTATGTTGCATGGAAGAAAACAACACAACAACAGCAACCAAAACAATTTATGACGTTCATCCGAATGCTTTAGATGTCCGCAGCTACCATCGCCAATTCACGAAATTTCGATCGAATTATTCTGACCCCTCCGATGCCCACCTTCCTGGACGGTAGTGGAGATGGATAATTGGCTTTTGCGTGCAACTGCAGAGGCAGATGCTCAGCAGAGTCCCGATTACCTATAAAAAACTGGGGAGACCAGTAGACAATGAATTTGGGATCCACACGAACTTTCGCTAGAAAAATACTCTCAGCGCCCGATAATCTGCAATGTTTTGTTAAGCGGACAAGAGAGGGAATTAGTTCTTTGGCGAATTGCCCCTGGCGATGAGAAATGAAATCTTCGTGTTAACAGTGAGCGCAAAAACCAATGGTTTTCCACAGGTCTGACGCCAGTTCCTACGACGAAATCAGACCCATATCGCGGAAACTACTGCAATAGGTTTGGTGAAGTATAGTAGGCATACTTCACCTCGATCTACTGGAACAAGCACAGACCGTAACAACAAACCTCTGCTGTCAACAGTTAGAGCGTTTGAACCAAACTCTTGTGTCAAACATCCTGCGATGATCAGTAGAAAAGGTGCCGTTCTGTTGAATGACAACGCGAGACCACGTACTGGCCGACAGACCCGGAATCAGATACGAGATTTAAGGTGGGAACTGTCGGCGTATCCACACTATTCAACTTACTGTATGCCAATTATTCATCATTTGCTAAGATCTTTGCAACACATCCTAGATGGAAAACTTTTAAAAATATCGACGATGTCAAAACTGTCAAAACACGATTTGTTTTATCAAGAGGGCATTGAGAATTACTTTCGAGGTCAGTAAATGTGACTGATAATAATGGCTACCATATAACTGGTTAAAAAATGAAACTTTTTCGGTAAACAGCTTTTCTGTAATTTTTGAAAAACGACATTATCTCCGGCATCCCTGATAATGAATGCCTATCCAAAAAAATTAGTACGCTGGTGTTGTGAATCTTCCGAAAGATATTGATAGGTTTGGTCATTTAACTTCGTAAAAGTTATTATCTACACGTAAGAGCTCGCCTGCCACTATTATCCGACATTTTTAATTGCTAGACTTATAGTTTTATTACCTATGCCAGTTCATTACACGAACTATGCCAGGCGAGCAAGCTGCAGAGGCCACTTATTATGTATAGATCTAAAATATACGTTATGGGCTGACAAACTGCTAAGGACAGAGCGATAGGATATTTTTCGTTGATAAGAAGCAAGGTCTTCTCGGTCGGAGGATGAATGCAACGCCTGAAACCAGCAGAAACAAATGCTTTCCCCAGAATAAATCGATGCAAACATTTTCGAAACTGCCCGAGTTCCATTTGTGCTGGCTTGCATTGACAGACCGGCCGTCGTTTCCGACGATGTCCACCATGTGCTACACCGACAGTTTGACCATCGATTTCGATGATGTCCACCGTGTGCCCCACAGTTGCAGCAACGGTGGGAGCAGGGACGGTGACTTGAGCAGGGGTTTATAGTGCCGGTAGACTTGCGCTGCATCTACCTACACTCTCTCCTCCTCCCCCGCCTAGGCCCGGTGTCAAGACAGAGTCAAGAAGACCGGAGACGAGGGAAGCCGCAGGTGGATGGTTCGGACGGATCCTCACCTTGGCGTTCCACCACACCCCGTGGTCCACACAACAAAGAACCAGGATTTCAACCAACAAAACAGAGATTTGGAGGCTGGCACGGCCGAAGCCGCACCTGGGCGTGCAGCCAACGCCTGGCTCGGACCCCACGCTGTGGTGGGAGTGCCATAAAGGCCACATTAAAAAGGAGCCATTGCAGCCTGACTCTCAGACCGCCTCCAGTAAAGGAGGAGGTCCAAGGTACCCCGTCAGTTGGCAACCTTCCAAGCCACGGCTTTTAGCGCACTGTGATAGCTTCAAGCGCGTCAGATTGTTTATAGTGAGGAAAATGCGCTGAGTCGTCGACCTCAATCTCCCTTCCCATTCCCAGGCCCCAGTCATTGTCCGAGCCGGTCAGTTGACAGGTGCGGGGAATGGGCGCGGTGGCTGATATAACTAGTGACCTTGTCTGCGCGCGCCACATGCACGACGTGGCTCCCAAACACAAGTACCAGGATTTTACACAACGGGGTTTGAGCGGCGTACATTTCACATGTATGAGAATGCCAGAGGCCGCGCTAAGAAGGAGCCGTTTCAGCCTGGCTCTCAGCCCACCAGTCCGGCCCCCCACAAAAACACAACTGGACAGACTGCGTGGTCTGAACTGGGTGAGAAATGTTACTTCGGCCAACACGGCCTTCGCCCTATCAAAGGCAGCGGTTGCGTTTGGGGAGGACCGAACGAAGCCTCGGAAACGGAAGAACGTTAGAATGCAGCAAGATGGAATCCACCCGAGAACAACCTGCGATAGCATTTAACCAGTCCCGGGAATTTCCGCTTAAAAGTAAGGAGGCAAAAAGTCACGAATAACAGCGAACTTTGAAAGCAGAATGCGAATGCCGACTGAGTCGACCAGTCGCGAATATAATACCCCTTTCGCCTTTAAGTTACATTATTAGATTTATGAATCCTCCTTACTAAAACTACAAGCAAAAGCTTTGCAATTTAACTATTTTCCCTTATATCTGTACCCTCTAAATGGAGTTTTCAGGGGTTCTGTCGTTTACTCCAGATATACTGACTGATACTGACTGAAATCCGAAGGCGGCAGCACCGAAGACACACTTGGAGGAGTTGTTGGTCGTTCCAAATTGCTGAAAATGACCAAACGACATTGCAAAATGTTCCTTGTGCTCTTTGGTGGCGCTGATTGCAAGCCACAAGGTCACCATTATTGGCGCAGAAAACGGGGAGACTCTGGGCCCCCCTCTCTACATGCCTGTGGGATATTTGAGGGAATGACGGCCCTACGAAGCCATAGGAGTGATGGCGACCCTTTTCGGAACGTCTCTCCCCTGTTAATGGGGTCTGATGAAGACATCCAGTCAAGTCGATCTCGGAGAGGATGAATGTGCCCTATAAGGTGTCGTGAAACTCTGGAGGTTGAAAACCGGTTAGCAGTCAGGAGTGGTGGCGATTTCAAGGTACATTAGTTATTGAAGGAAGCGCTAGTCACTGGTGAAAGTCTTTGGGACGATGCGCCGAGGTGAGGCTAAAGAGCCGTCCTTGGCATGCGCTTGAAGCGTGCTTTGGCCCCCAACAGTTGTTCAGGTGCAGTTGGATAACCACTGATGCGGCTGTGATATATCGTAGCATGCGGTGGGGTAAGGCAATGACGTTTCGGTAGATAAGGTTGGGATATATGATGAGGACCCCCGTAAATGAACTAACTGAATCGGGATCCAAGACGGTAATTTGAAGACATGCCTCAGGGGAAGGAGTAGCCGGGACTGAGAGAATTGTGATCTGTTTGTTACAAGGGCACTGCTAGCAGTCGACCACAAGATCGGAAGTGACGGTGTAGTCTCCGTTGAAAAAGAGTAAAGGACGCCGGAGACCAGCGTACAGAGGGAACAGGAAACGGTGGTATCTGAGGAAATGCTGACAGTTTGGAACGAGAGTTTGATCGCCGACTGCCAGCTGCTGTCGGGGAAATAACAATGACCTAGGCGCAAGTATTAGCTAAGAAACGTCTGTTGTTCAGGATGTTGCAGATTTAAAAATCTGGTCTTGAGATGCTAAGGGAGTTGACTGCACTGGCCCGTTTAGCCGCAGGTAGTACCTGGAAATGAAAGAGTAAGGAAAGACACAGCAATGGACCCTGGCACCGAAGCTGGTGTAATAACAGCAAGTGATAGTTGTTCGGGGTCGAGCTGAAGCAACAGGTTGAACTTGCGCTGAGAGGACCTTACGCCGCTCCGAAATAAGGAATAGGTTGTCTGATGTTGAAGAGGAGTCTTCGCTTCTTTTTCAGCGATGGCATCTTCTTCTTCTGCTGAAAGGCGGGTTTTTCGATCTGCGTCACTCAGTCGATGAGCGGTAAGCTTGCATCGCACGACCGAACATCGATATTACGGCAGTAAGACACTCAAAAACGAGTACAGGGCCAGAATCTAAGTACAGTACCTGTGCTAACTCATGAAATGTCATGAATTAACACAGGTAAACGACTTTAACGCAGAATCGGTAAACACTACGGCTCCCAAAGTCTGATATCGGAAAATAAAAGATGTGTTAAAGAAATAAAGCAAAGTTTGGTTTAGAAAATATTATTTACTGAGATAAAAATAAATGATTTTCGACAGAAGTCACATTTTCGAGAAACGCCTATATTACAACTAAGTTAATAAAGGCTACGTATGAGGGCGTATAAAGGAGGAGGGCGCATAAAAGGGCAAAAATAATTAAGGACAGAAACAGATACAAAAATCAGTACTTTGTTGATTGTCCATTTGAATTAATAACAGCAGAAAGTCTGTCAGACATAGACATGACGAGGTTATCTATGGTGGATTGTAAAATGTAATTATTGAGTATGAAATCCAATTTGTCCTGCATTGAAAGAGTCTTCTTAGCTTTGTGCCAACTTCTTTTGACTATTCCAAAAAGATTTTCGATAGGATTCAAATCGGGACTGTTGGCCGGGATGAAAATGGATTGGAGGCCAATTGCGGAGAGGGTGGTTGTTGTCTAAAATGTTAGATTATATTTGCAAGCGGCATCAAATTCGTACCTCTTTAGAGCGGTGGACAGGTGAATTGTCGTGCAAAATTACAGTATCCATTCGGCGCCGACTTATGCCGTTGTAGCCGAAAGCATCCTTGACAATTGCAATAAACACCTTGCTGTTGATGGTGTCGGATGTTGACCGCCAGAGAGGCCGCTCACCGAATTTAATTGCCATCCAAACCATCATCCGCCGACAGTTCTTGAATGTTTCCCTGATTTTCTTGATATTGAAATTTAATTTTTTCTTGTTGTACGAAAGTTTATTGAAAAATTTCTTCCTTTTATTCATCTTCTTAAACAGATTAATAAGGTAAAACAAAGAATTTCGATCCGAAAGCTTTAATAGCGTAGGAAACTGCTTGAATAACAGGAATCCTTCGATTTCGCCTAAATTCGGCCGGTTTGCTATTTAATATACAGATCCGTATCAAACTTTCCTTCAGCAAACAGCCTTTTCGTCCTTATTTCAACTAAATAAACACAAATAACAACACCAAAAATACGCTACAGTTTCCACTATAATTTTGACCTCGGCATTTCATGAGTTAGCACAGGTACTGTATGTACTTAAGACAGCGTTCTTCAAAATACCTTTCTGTCTATTTAACACACCGATATTTCGACCTTACACAACAGGACTTTCGACCGACTGAGGTTGGAGCGCAGTTCTAGCGTCCCATTTGACCATTTCCGGGGCAATTTAGTTTTAGGCAGTCAAAATCTCCACATGACATTTCATAGAACGTGCTCCTCCTTGTTCATGTCACGAAGAGTCATCCACAGCAGCCGCCGCCGCCGCCGCCACCGGCAGCAGCCGCCTTTTTAATGGCATGGCCAACCTTCAGCCAGTAATAACGGAGTACACGAGAAAGGCGAGGGGATGGTCAACATGCAGTTTGTCAAAGCTGGGCGGAGGGTGGTCTTCAGCAGTAAAAACCACTTGACTTGTCAGTGCGAAAGCACACTACCCCCAAAGCAGTCGCTGAACACACAGTACCCGACTTCAGGCAGTGACAGTCGTCCGCTTGACAGAACGCGTGTGCACTGTCTTTTCCCAGTATCCGCGGAAATTAGACTTTTTTTCATTCCAACTGTGCTTGTACGAAAGCCGAACCGCCTGCTCAGAGGGTAACGAGACGGATGGCGTCCCTCCAAGTGCTGTTTTGCTAACCAATATCTGAATTTAGTTGACAGTGGACGCTTTTTAATTATTGCGTATTTTTGCCCAATCCTGTCTTCGTCAACATCAGTGCTACACGGTTTTCAGCTTTACGGTATAACCATAGGGTTTTTCGGCGCCAGAGACTTCAATGTCGAAGCAACTGCCTTATCGACCGTGGGATTTGCAAACTCGTTTATGCAGTTTCAGTCCCAATTAAAGCATCAAATTTTTGTAAAAAATATACGTGAAACATTGCTCGACTTGATTAAAGTTTGAAGGAATGAGATAATTTTTTGTATGCGGACCTTCGGCAAGTCTTCTGCGCATTCATCGGATAATACCCAGATAATTTATCACTAGAGGGGCTTTATTAAGCATTTCATATTTCTTTCACGACTAATTCACCTGTTCACTGATGTATGTAAGTTTTTTTCTGTGACAGCAGAACGTTTTGGGACTGGCTTTTACGAAAATTTCACAAAACTCTCTCACGGACTGAAAAGCTTGGCAGACAAGCAGAGTCGCCAAAAGCCTTAGGTTGGTGGTCTTCTTAATTGACAAATTATTTCGTGATTTTAAATTTTAAACATCGGTTAGCTTGTTAATGCTTCATATTTCGGGACAAATTAAATGTCATTCAGACCATGTTTTCAGTGTACAAACTCCCTGTATGATATGTGCTGGGGATACTTTTGTTGAGGAAGGCTGAGAGTATAGGTGCTTACTTGGAAAACAGAAGGCCCAGGCGTTCGATGCGGTATGGTCGTCCAATCCGTTCAGAGAAGACGATTAGTGGTGGGCGAGTTCTACACACGTCCGACCTGTTCTTGACATTGGGGCATGGTGGGTGCTAGAAGAGAAACAGTAATGCTTGTCCGGCAGAAATTACCCTCCACACAATCCTATTCAAACGTTATTCAGTATTTTTTACGAGAAAAAACTGGTCGCCATCGAGTCTGACGAAGTAACCATTTGGGGATTTTGAACTTCCAATATGCGCGTCGCAGTCGGTGACACTCAAAAACTTCCTTTTTGAAAATCTACTGGCAGCATGTGGGGGACGCCAGGCGCGAGTAATCACAAATCAGCCAGCTGTGAATGAAGAAAGATTCGGCGAGTCGGAGCCAAATACGAGGGGGGTGCCCAAAAGACTGAATTATTTATTTGATTTTTTATTTAAAATAATGATGATGCACACTCGTCCCCACGGGTTTTCCATTTTTCGAAGCACTATTCTATCCCTCTGAACTAACGCTTTTAAGTACCTTCAGCGATTTTTTCTTAACCTTGTCTACGTCCTAAACACGATATCCCTTTAGATATTCCTTCGTTCTTGAGAATACAAAGAAGCCCTAGGGGGCTAGTGCGGGCAAGTAAGGAGGGTGGAAGACCAGTTTCGTTATGTTTTTTGTCAAAAGCGATTGACTTTGAACGCTGTGTAGGTGGGCGCGTTGCCATAATGGAACAGCCAGTCTACCGACCGTCGCAATTCAGATCGTTTTCTCCTCACCGTCCCATACAATCACTTCAGCATTTGCATTTGTTGGCTCACTGTGGTAACATAAGGGACAAGTTTAACGTAACAGAATCCTTTGATTTTGAAAGCGCAAACCATCATTGACTCCAATGTCGACTGTACTTGCCTTGCAAAATTTGTTGAAAACGCTGAGGGGGATTTAATAAAACAATCCCTCTGTCCATTGCAATGCTATCTCATGAACGCTACTTGTTAAGCTGCCTACCGAGAGAAGGCGGCACTGCATAAATACTTGTTTGCAGAAAGTCATTCTCGTTTCTTTTGGTACTTCCTCTTACAGAAAATGACTGAAACAATGCCGACGAATCGCCTTACTTCATGTTACTATCAGAGATCTCCTGGGCTGCTGAAAGTAGAAAACAGATCGAACTCCTTCCTAGTAAAACGTTTGCCAAGGCATCAAAGAAGAACAGATACGCAGAATAATTCTTGCGTCCCCGCTCGTTGTGATTTAGAAAAGCCTCCCTTATCATAGATCACCGCAACCCACTCGTTTGAGACTTCAAAATTATCGATCTTACCACGTTCTACCGTTGGTACAAAGTTCTGTTACGCTGCCTAGAATGCCAGAACTGAAAAGGCGTTTATGGATTTAGATACACATTTAAAAACTCGCAGGTGAAACTAAAATGGGATGTTAAACCACTGGTCGCTTGAACAGGTGTCTAGTGTGAATGAATACGTTCATTGATTGCCTTAAGAGACTCAGTAAGTGTCTACAATCATGAACAAATCTGTTAGTAATCCGTCGTAGTATTGAAAATATGTGAAGGCAGTCCTAGAATACTCATACCGCCTGTTCGAAATCCCAAAAACTTGAGTTGTAAATCCGCATGAGTGCCATGGCATTTCTGGCAACGACTGATTCTGGACGTTAGAAAAGCAACGACCACGCGTCATATACCTTGTCAAAAACGGAGTAAGCCTTGTTTTAGTTTTTGAAAACGGCCATTTCTTTTATATTTCCTTTGATTAGATGCGCAGAAAGCAAACTCCCGCGAAAATGATCATTCTTAACAAGGTTTCGAATACGGGAGATAGTCCAGTCCTTTTAATAACTTATTTTATGTCAGATCTTAGTCGCATCAGTAAGAAAATTTCGGTTGGACAATACTTTATGCACGGAAGCGTACTTCCCGGCTTTCAGTCATTGTTGTAAGAGTTCTGATTTCTACAATTTGATCTTTTGAATTAGGTTGGAGAGGTCGCGTTGTGTATACCAGTGGGCACTGAACCGTATTCCACAAATACCTCAAAGTTAGGCGCTATCATCTGTAATAGATTTGTCCCTGTTAAGGATTTTATAATGAACCAATCGTCATTCGGCTATGAAGCTGCGCGCTAATTGGTCGACTGAGGTGAACTAAAATAACTCCTGCTACTAATGTCCGATCTTGGGCTAGAAAAGCCGGATGGACTCGTCTCTGGCTTCTTTTGCATCATGCTTGTTCAACACTAGTCGCAATTGGGAAAATAAAGACAAGGCGGATGGCATAGACTCCCACTATGAGCGGCCGGGCAGCCGGACTTCTATAATTGTCTCCATTGCCCTCCTGACAGTGATTGACATAACAGCTTTTGTTGGAAACATACTAGTTTTACAAGTCTACTGGAAATGCTCCTGTTGTCGCACCGCAA